GGGGGGGGAGGTGGCAGGTGCGCACCGGGGCCAGCTGCCCGTATGGGCCTTCCCTCACCGAGACCGCTGAGGTGCCTGGGGTGAGGCTGGCTGAGTGCCAGATGGGCCTAGGGCCGTGGAGTTAGGGTGGTGGTGAGCCCTGCTCATGACTGCTGCTCAGGGGGAAACTTGGGTTGGTTCAAATGCAAAAGGAATCTTTTAACCTATTAGGAAGTAGATGCTTAAATATTCTCAAGTTGGCCTTGCAATTGCATAGACAGAAATCTCCTGTTGCATAAGAGCAGTTTTGGCTGTAGTCACGCGTTGCATTCTTCTTCTGTGGTTTCTACTGCTTTCCTTTGAAGTGCTCCTACTGCCAAACTCACCATGTGGCCTTTAACGCTCTGCTGCAAATGTGCACATGCATCACCCTTTCTAGCACATCTAGGCATCATAATGCATAAATCTCTGCCCCTGCACCTACTTGGCTATATTTAGTGCAAAGTTAGTTTTCAAAAATTAGTAAAAATCAAGTATTTTTCTAAAAATATCTTTAAAATAATTGGGAATTGCACAATTTTATTTTTGTGCAACTTCCAATGATTCCCAATTTCTAATATTTGGAATAAAATGCCTTCAGATAAGGAAGCTAAGGCCTACCCTCTGTCAAAATTTAAACCATGAGGTTTTGGGTTTTGTATTTTTTCAAATAGGGAATTGATCTGGAAAGTGCTATTGCTGTTTACTGTTTTGGCATACCATCCCCCAGTATAAAAGACTGAATTCTTACTTTTAGTTAAAAATTCACTTTGAACATAATTAAGTAGATAAGACTAGCTAGTGTCTCCCAGAATATGATTATCTGACCACTAAAAATGTCCAATTTTCAATATTTTCCCCACTTAGAATATAGTTGAAATTCCTATGTGTTTTAGGAATACTTAAATACACAACATAATTGAGTATTTTAACTAGCCAACTTGTAAAATAAGTTTTAAATTTGTTTAAAATCAAGTAATTGCAGACCCAGTTTAGAACAGTTGCTTACCTACCTGCAGAAGTAAAATCTGGTGAAGCTCTGAATGTGGAGTTTCATCCTTGGGTGAGTTTCCTACACCCTGCAATTTACTAAGCCTCTTTGAAAATGGGGCTTATTTAAAAAGAAAAAGAAAAGCACTAATAGAAGCATTGCTGTTGTGGTCTCCCACTTAAAACCTGTACTGAGGAAATCTGTGGGCTTCTCAAAGGGTTTGGTGTGACTTTTAACATCCAAATATGTAAGAATAATAAATTTTTCCATTGAACTTGATAACTCAGTCTTCTAATTTGCAAAAAGATGTTAGACTTAAGAGAACAATTCTTAAGGAGTTAAAGCCTCTAGTCCTGTTTAACCTGCATCAGCTATGAGGCTAAATCAGATGTGATATTTCCAACATTGGGCATCCCTCCCTGGTTTGCTAGGGTGCAGTTTTGTGTTAGTTTCATCTGGTAAAAAGCAGACTGCTGTCAAAAGGGGAAGTTCCCTGCTCCCTTGCCCTCCTTTGTCACTAAATCCAATGGAAAATGTGACAAGCTGGATTGGTGCTCTGATACTATAGAATTCTTTTAATGTTAGGTTATTTTTCTATCTAATCAACTTACTGATCTGGTTTACCATGTGATTGCTAGACACAGCAAAAAGGATGGAGCAGAAAGGAATGGTTGAAGGACGAAGAGGATGAGAGTAAGACTTTTTTTGGTAGCGGCTCTCAGATCATATTAAGAGTAACGAGATTCATTTTGCCGAATCTCTCATTTTTGAATAGAGAACATCTCATGGAGGCTATTGCATTAAATTTTTTCAAAGGCATTTTAAGGAAGAAACTGTCTTCTAGCCTACTCGGCAATGTTTGTATTAAGGCATGTATGCCTGGCTTTGTTCTGTCTTTAATATCAGTTATGCCAGTAATACTGTCACTGTTCTATGAATCTCCTGGGTTAGAGATGTTAAAATGTATTAACTTAAAGACAAGTAGATATAACATAGGGACTGCATCTGGTGAAACAATTCCTACAGCATCATAATGCTCTCTGTAGTAGCAGCTTTCAGACTGCAGTTGGTTGCACGTCTTCTCAGTGCGTTTGATCAAGCTGTGTTAATTTTTCTTCACTGACAACTATCAGGTATCCAGTTTGCATACTGGTCTATAACCTATGTCAGGGAACAGCGAACCTTGCCAGTGAATTGTTACAATTCAAGACAGATAGAAGAGTGTGGGTGGTTGGTGGGTGTTTGTGGGTGGGGGGGGGGGGGGGGGGGGGGGGGAAGTGCAGGCTAGATTGAAGGAGTTATAGCTCATGGCAGGGAAGCATTTTTAGTGAAATAAATATTCATTCTCTCTAAAACAGTGAGTGTATTCATCACAGGGATGTTGGGAGATTACAGTTGGATGGGCAGACAGTCCTTTAAACATGTGAAAAAAGGAGGCATTAAGGGAGAAAAATAATTATTACATTAAATGTAATTTTCTTTGGTAACTGAGAGCTTTCTATCCGACAGAAAGCACTTCTAATAATCCTGCCATGTGTGCTGTCCATTAGGATTTCAGTTGCAAAGAGATGTTTTTGACACCTATAGACAATCACCTGATGTGTTTGTCAACAGTTGAGCTTGTATCTTGGAGTCTGTGGTTAGGTTCTGAGTAAAGGATCATGGTTGTTTTTAAGGGCTTTTAACAAGCTTTGAGATTTGCTTTTTGCTGAAGCTGTTTGTACTATTCTTGTTTTTTAGCAGTATTTTCTATTTAGATTTGCTATTGGTGATTCAAATGAGTGGAGTGGGAGTTTAAAATAACTGAAACTTTCTTCTATGTCAGCAATATGCAAGCGTAGGGTTTCCCCTCCATCTTTCAATAGCTCTATTGATGTCTCAAACTGCATTGTTCTTTGCAGAGTTCATTAACTTCTTAAACATTCTGTGCCCAATGTTAATCCTATTTACAAAAGTTACTTATTAAATTCTTTGAACCTGACAAGCAGTATTGGCTCCTGCACGTCGTCGTCTTGAACAGCGTTCCCTGTCTGATATTTAGAACCTTATATAGGCTGCTGCAACAACTTTTGGGAAGATGATAGTGTTATATTAATAATTAAAAGAAACCTTAATTTAATATTCTCCAGAGAGAAAGGTTCATTGATCCTAGCCTAGAAACCACACAACATTTTACAGAGAAAACTTTAGACAAGTCTTCATCCCAAGGAAATTAAAGTAATTCAAATTGAGAGGAAGGGAGGCAGGAGGAAACATACATATATGTAACATAAATGGTTGCCTTTGCAGCCACTAGTAGCTTTCACAATTAAAAATAAGCTTCTAAATATAAGTACTTAGTTTGAATCAGTCAAGTTCATTTCATATTACTGCTTAGGTAAAGTAGGAGCTGTGGCAGGCACCGTTCACAAGAGCAGAAGTCCTACACTGAGTCACATGGAAAAGGCCTGAGCAGTCAGTAGGCTCAAACTAGGCTTAGGTGATTGTTTTGGTTCCTTCTGTTGTCAAAGAAAGGTTTCTGTTAGACAGGGAGAAGTAAACATGTGAATGTGGGGAGTTATGCTACAGTCACCATCTTTGGGGTGGGGGGGAATCAGATGAATTCTTAAACAGTTTGAAGTCTGCTTTCAATATGAATTATAAATGTTTATTTCTGACCCCAAACCTTCCGCTTACTTGTGGCCACAGCAGCTTGCAGTAGCCTTTCTATAAGTGAAGACATCCTGTGTGCTTGCAGAAATAAAACCTGTAGTAAGTAGGAGAAGATTTCGGCATCAAACTGGGCCACTCACAAATCATTTGTGAATTATTTACAGCAAACATTAAGTGAAAATGTTCATGTACATCTTCTGTGAGGATATTTTTAATTCTG